GCCGCCGCTGCCGGCGCCGACGCTGCCGCCTATGCCGCCGCCTATGCCGCCGCTGCTTTCGCCGCCGCCGCCCTCGCCGCTGCTGCCATCCACGACCTCGCCCACCACAGGCAGCGGCCCGGAACCTTCCCTGCTCAGAAGGCCGGACGCCGCCGCCGCTCCGCCCGCCGCGCCGGCGCGTGACCTGATGCGCCCGCTCGACGACCGCCGGATCCCCAGGCCCTCGCCAGGCCCCGGCCTGGGCTGGGCTTCTTGGTCCCGCCCCGGCTCGCCGTCGTCATCACCCTCCATCTCGTACCGCACCGCTGACGTCACCGAGTCGCCCAGCGACTGCAGCAGCGGGCGGCTGCCGCCCGTCCCGTCCCCGTGCTCGCCGCTGGGCCCCCCAGCTGCGAGGCCGCCGGGCGGGATGCTATCGGTGCGGCCGCCGCTGCCGCCGCCGCCGCTGCTGCTGCCGCTGGCTTTCCTGCAAGTCGACGAGCACGAGGCGCCTGATGCCCGCAGGTTTGCCGCCGCCATCTCTTCCAAAAGGGCGTCGCTGCTGTCTGCAGAGGCTGGCAGCGCGGGCGCGATGTAGCGGCGCTTCTTGCTGCGCGGCGCCCCGCTGCCGCTGTAGGTGGAGTCTCCCGTGAGGGCGGTCGAGAGGCGCTGCGGCGGGTTGTGCGAGGGGGAGGCGGCGCCGGCGGTGAGCGAACGAGCACGCAGGCTTTGCTGATCGCCTGGGCGGTGGCCTGTGGTGGCTACGGGCAATCAGGCAAGACTCACTCGCCGCCGGCCTGCAACCACGCCGCAACCATGGCGCCGCACCCCGCATGTCTGCCGGCATGAGGACGCGAGGCTCACCCTGGGCCCGGGCGTGGACGCGCCGTCGCTCCCGCTGCCGTCGCCGTCAGCGGCCGCCTCCTTCGCCTGCCCCTGCTCCTGAGCCTGCCGCCTCCCCAGCCGCCGCCGCCGCACGACCACGCAGCTGGCGATGACGACGAGCGCCGCCAGGCACACGGCCAGCGGCACCGACAGCCCTATCACGATCCGCCGCACCGCGGCCGCCCTGGCGTCGCCGCCGCCGCCGCCGCCGGGCTTCAGGCCGCGCACCACCTGGGGCCGCTGCACCCACAGCGCCTCGGCGCCGGCGGGCAGGTTCAGGCCGGACGCCTGGATGACGTCACGCAGGTTCTTGGCGTCACCCAGCCACCGCCGCAGCGCGTCACCCGCGCCCAGCTCCGACTGCTCCTTCTGGAAGCCGGCGGCCAGCAGGAGGACGACGGTCACCGTGGCCGGCGAGACCGGGCGGGCCGCCAGGCCGGCGGGCGTGATGGGGACGCCGCTGCGCTGCAGGTGGCGCTCGAACACCGCCGAGCAGTTGGCTGTTTGGTTTGTGGCAATTAGGGCAAGGGGAAAGCGGCGTGTGGGGGGACGGGGACGGGTTGGACAGCCGGAATCAAGGGGGCAGTGGCCGAGCTGGGTTGCGCGCGCGTTACAGGCAGCCTCGGAGCAC